CGACCTACGAGGTAGGCTGCTGAGGCAACCGACTGTGATAAGGGGGCAGCGATGGTGCCGCTACCAGCAACGACGCTACTGCGAGCGGAGGGTAGAGGTGTCAACAAGCTCGTCGGAGAGTGTGGGGGTTGTTGCGAGCATGGTAGCAAGGCACGCCCGTCATGGACGGAACTGGACGCGCGCCATGAAAAATAGAGCAAAATGACCGACGAGCCACGGACCCAGAACAGGCGGTACGCGGACAGGAGAAAAAAATGTCCGACACCCGGCATGGACGAAACTGGACGCGTGTCATGAAAAACAGGCAAAACGACTGATGAGCCATGGACCCGTACAAGGACCAAGAACGGCTCGGCAAAAGAAAGAAGTATGTGACAAAATGATATATACTTCTAAAATAAGTGACCAACTTCTTTTAAACCGGAGAAGGTTTAAATTGATGGTGGTTTGATTTGATGAGGTGGTTTGGTTTAAATTGATAGATAAATGCAAAAATGTAAATGAATGCATGCATGACTTGGAGAAAAAGAGACATGCATGGTTTGATGAAGAGGCATGGTTTGCGATCGAAGAAATGACTTACCCCATTGTTAACCGCCTGTGCCAAGTGGTCGTAGGGCATGGGGTCCGCCTTCACGTACTCGAACGGCAGAGCGTACGGAAGCAGCCGCACCGCCGCCTCGAACGCCTCGATCACGAACCCGCCAGCCGTCATCCGGTTCGTCACCGGGTCCACGTCAATGTGCAAGATCGGCCGGTAGCTCACCGGGATCCTCCCCGGCACCGCCACCCGCAGCTTCGCGGCGCTCGTCGGCTGCGCCCACCCACTTGGCCGGACCGTCGACTCTCCCGGCCAGATGAACGGCGAGAGCTCGCCGCCCGCTTTGCTGGAACCGCGACCTACATGTCGGCTCAGCCCGTACCGCGGCGTCCAGAACCCGATGCCCTTAGCTTTCCCATCGTCGATGTTTAACACGCGGAAGGCCGGCACCGCGAGCTCTCCGTCGATGAGCTCGAACCTGCCGCCGAGGCCCTCGAATGTCGTGTCGTTGATAGCTCGGAGGAGCTTCTCGCCCGATCTTGACTTGCCGACCCCGGAGATGTCGGTGGGGCCGCCCTTGCCGCCTACCAGCCCCGGTGGCGATGATAGGTCGCTGGAGCTGAGTCGCTCTGCCGCGGACGCGACGGCCCATGCGGCGTCGTACGCCCAGACGGCGTAGCAGCCCACCACGGCGTGCTCCGGCTCGTCGTCCGGGTGGTCACGCATGTACCGGCGCACCCACCGCTTCTTGACGTCGCGCAGCCGCGGCGTGGTCGGCACGTAGGGCGCGAGCCCGATGACGCCCTGCGGCGGGTCCACGAAGCCAATGAGGCCCGTGAGCCCATCGGTGATGATCCACGCGTAGCCGGCGCCCGTCATGCCGGCCTCCGCGGCGGCGGCGAACACGCGTCTTGCGACCTCGGCGCGCATGTGCAGCACAAAGACGCGCGTCTGCTCGGACTCCATGCGGTACAGCTCCGCGGCGATGGCGTCGGGGATCGCCCCTTCCGGGAGCGCGCAGCGGTAGGGGACCTCGGCGCGCGCGTCGGTGAGGGCGCCCACGAGGAAGGGCACGAAGGCGGCGCCGTAGTCGTCGTCCTGGTAGATGGGCACGACGCGGCGCCACCCGAAGTGCGTGGCGAGCGCGGCGACGGCGCCGGCCTGCGCCGTGTCGCTCAGCGCGGCGCGGACGAAGAAGCTCGCCGAGGCGGGCGACACCGACGGGCTGGTGGCCGAGAAGGACACGACGGGGACCTCTGCCCGCGTGGCGAGGTCGGCGACGAAGGCCGACTCGACGGACGACTGCGGGCCGAGGATGGCGCGCGCTCCCTGGCTCGTCATCAGCTGCAGCGCTGCACGCAACGCAATCACGACCATGCACGCACGCACGCGCGAGACGTCAAACGAAACGAGCCGCGGAAAGGAACAGCAGAAGCGGCTGCCGGTCATACGTACCGGCGGACGCGGCGGTGACGACGTCCCCGCCGGAGTCGTGCTGCTGGATCCGAACCCGAGCGGAGGAGTTGGGGAAGGCGGCGTAGAAGTCCTCGAGGGCCATGGAGATGGTGGTCGTGGCGACCTTGCCGACGGGCGAGGCGGCGTCGACGATGAGCCCCACCTTGACCTCCGTCGGCGCGGTCGGCTGCGCCCGCGATGTAACGGTGAAGGAGGCGGCGAGGCCGATCAGGAAGAATAGAAGGTAGGGATGAGCGCGCGCGTCTCCGGCCATGGCGAGATGGAGGAGGGGCGGGAGAGAGCAGGCCAGTCAATTGCTTGGGCGAGACAACTCCTACCAGAGTTTGGTCGCATACTGACTTGTCATTCTTCCTCTCTTTTTTTTAAGAATTCGATTGGTTGCGCGTGCGGGTTTGACCTCCTTTTGTAGAACCGCGCGCGAGAGAGAACGTGCGGGTTTTGCATTCGTTTCAGTAGTTTCTTTTCTGAAGACACATACGGAGTATGTGTGTGGGAATCAGAGACAAATGTGACGTCTCATTTGGATCGTATCCCAGGCATCTCATCAGTTACTGTCAGCAAAAGCAAGCAGTGACAGCGCCAGAATGCTACACAAAAGTTCAAAAACAAACAAGTAAAACCACTACTCGTTGCATATTCGTGTATACTCCATTTGTTCTAAAATATTTGACTTCCATTTGTTCAAAAATAGATGTATCTATATACTAAACCTAAACTCCTAAAAGTGCCCGTGCACTAAACTGACTTCCCGAGCACACGCGGCGATGGCCGTCCGATCCGTCGCAATCCGTGCGTGGTCGGGCCCAGGTGTAACCTGGTCGGGGCGAGGCCGAGCGTTGCGTCGCGTGGTGGTGCGGCCAGGTGGAATATGGTCGAGACGAAGCGACTCGCTTGGGTGGGGCCCGCCATTATCTCTCTCCCCCACAAACGGCTCTCTCCCTCATTTGGCGGAGTGGGCGGTTTCTTCTTCCCCTCTCCCTCGCCCAAATCGCCCCCAAATCGAAGCCTCGTCGCTGCCCAAATTCGCCATAGTCCACATCGGTTCTCTCAAGAGGCGTTCGGCGTCGCGGGTGGTCGGCGGCCGGAGTTGTTCTCCCGCGCGGCACGCTGGCCGCGGGGAGCGGCTCTCACTCGTGAGCTTGGCGACCGCGCAGTGCTCGACTCGCAGGGTGGCGGACGGTTGCGAAGTGAGGCTGCCCTCGTCGTTTTGTGTGGTGGCGAAGGAAGAAGGTACGACGACACGATTTCTGGCGGTGGGAGTTTCTCCCGTTCGTCACGTTCTGTCTAGGGCACGTAGTGCTTCCATCGATTTGCTAGTCGATTCTATGGTTTTGGTAGGTTTTACCATAGATTACGATGTTTTGGGCAGCGGCGTTGGTTAGGTTAGGTACTGGGGTATCAAATCTCCATATTTGTCCATGTTTGTTAATGCGAGCGACGGATTCGTGTGATTTCATGGTCGAACTAGTTTGAGGGTTCGCGTTCTCCCTCATCCCTCCCTTTCTTTACCCCGTGTAGATGCTTTTTCAGCGTTTTGCTGGTGATTTTTTTGTAGCAGGCAAGTTTATCATGACCATCAGGTGCGTCATGGCACGAGGTGTTAGTAGGTTTTCTCGTGAGCGGGCAAGTTCATACCAATCGTCAAATTTATGGCACACGGGTGTTTTTTTAGTGTTTCCTCAGAGCAGGCAAGTTCATGCCATTTGTCAGGCAACTTATGTGCACACAGTTGTTTTTATTTTTGTACTTACTGGTGCCGGGCAAGTTCATGCCAACCGTCAGGCAACTTATGGCAAGGTTTTTTTTGTGTTGATAGGAGTGCTGATAATCTGACATTTTTTCATGTTGATAATCAGCAAATTGCTAGATAACCATGCAGTTTTCATCCTAATAATCAGGCAATTTGCATGCTTATAATCAGACATTTCCGCATGCCATTTTTTGTACTTTGTATTTGTATGCTGATAATCAGACATTTTTTTCATGGTGATAATTTTTTTGGTATGTAACTGCTTTCTTTACAGGTAAAGATGACTAAACCAAGTAAAAAGCATGATCAACGGCAGTCAGCAGAGTCACCGCTTGACTTGGTTCCACCTCCCATTTCCAAAGCTGAACGGGGGGGTATTCCTTCTAATTTTTGCTACGTAAACAACACTTGCTTTGGTTGCTACATTTTTTTGTTAAGGAACTTGTGATTTCATTGCAGGAACCTATAGCAGAGGAGCAAGGTGTTTCAACAGGTCATGTTTACAAACACAAGCGCCGGAAGCTGGTCATAAACCGAGGGAAGCGGCCTGCGAATATTGAAAGTAACGAAGAAGAACCAGTAGGAGATGACAATGAAGCTGATGTTACACAAGATGCACAACCAAAGAAAAAACGACGGAAAGTGACTGAAAATGAGGTATCCCTCCTCCGTACCCCCTCCTCCCGCGACCATATAAATTACAAACTCTTTGTTTTCTGACCAGTATTTTAGCTGCGTTTTTTTAGCTACTAGCAACTAGCAAACAGTACCATGGGAGCAAAATATGGAGTTGCAATTCATGTTCTACTTTTCACACACAAGTTGCCTCCATTTTCCCATGTAGCAGTCAACTCATGCAGTACATGCATCTCAAATCTTTTTATTTTGTAAGTTAGGTGGGAGGCAATTTTTTGTGGTCATGTCCCGGCAACTCATGTTGCATGCACACCTAAGTTGCTCCATGAACATCTTCCCAAAATCTCATTTCAGGAGGTGTAGGTGGTAGGCAACTTATGTGCTCCATGCATACATAATTTGCACCCTTTTTGTCAATTAAGAAAAAAGGAATTGGAATGCCTTTTTCCCATGTGCCACATGGTACACATGAAATTAGTGTATCTTTAAGCAAACAAAAAAGCGCCAGAAGTTTAAGCACACATAAAAGCGCTAGAAGTTTTTGCACTAGGAATTTGTTGAGAAAACAAAAAAGAGCAGCCAAGTTCTAGGGTATGTTTAAGCAAAATCAGTGTTGGCGGTGAGCAACTTTTGTGTGTCTGTGCGTGCTAGAACTGAAGGAAATATGCCATGGAGGCAATAATAAAGTTGTTATTTATATTTTCTTATATCATGATAAATGTTTATTATTCATGCTAGAATTGTATTAACCGGAAACTTAGTACATGTGTGAATACATAGACAACCAGAATGTCACTAATATGCCTCTACTTGACTAGCTCGTTGATAAAAAATGGTTAAAGTTTCCTAGCCATTGACATGAGTTGTCATTTGATGAACGGGATCACATCATTAGAGAATGATGTGATTGACATGACCCATCCGTTAGCTTAGCACTATGATCGTTTAGTTTGTTGCTATTGCTTTCTTCATGACTTATATATGTTCCTATGACTATGAGATTATGCAACTCCCGAATATCGGAGGAACACTTAGTGTGCTATCAAACGTTACAATATAACTGGGTGATTATAAAGATGCTCTACAGGTGTCTCCGATGGTGTTTGTTGGGTTGGCATAGATCAAGATTAGGATTTGTCACTCCGTGTTTTGGAGAGGTATCTCTGGGCCCTCTCGGTAATGGACATCACTATAAGCCTTGCAAGCAATGTGACTAATGAGTTAGTCACGGGATGATGCACTACGGAACGAGTAAAGAGACTTGCTGGTAACGAGATTGAACTAGGTATTGAGATACCGACGATCGAATCTCAGGCAAGTAACATACCAATGACAAAGGGAACAACGTATGTTATTATGCGGTTTGACCGATAAAGATATTCGTAGAATATGTAGGAACCAATATTAGCATCTAGGTTCCGCTATTGGTTATTGACCGGAGACGTGTCTCGGTCATGTCTACATAGTTCTCGAACCCGTAGGGTCCGCACGCTTAACGTTCGATGACGATTGGTATTATGAGTTTATGTGTTTTGATGTACCGAAGGTTGTTCTGAGTTCCAGATGTGATCATGGACATGACGAGGAGTCTCGAAATGGTCGAGACGTGAAGGTTCATATATTGGACGGCTATGTTCGGACACCCGAAGTGTTCCGGAAAAGTTTCGGATAAAACCGGAGTACCGAGGGGTTACCGGAACCCCCCGGGGGGTTATCGGGCCTCATGGGCCAAGTGGTGGAAGAGAGGAGGCTGTCCAAGGTGGGGAGTGCGCCTCCCCTAGCCCAAACCGAATTGGACTAGGGGGCGGCCCCCCTTTCCTTCTCTCCTTCCCCTCCTTCCTTCCCCTCCTAGTTGGACTAGGAAAGGGGGAACCTACTCCTACTTGGAGTAGGATTCCCCCCTTGGGGCGCACCCCTTGAGGCCGGCCGCCCCTCTCCTCCACTCCTTTATATACGGGGGAGGGGGCACCCCATAGAGACACAAGTTAATTGTTTAGCCGTGTGCGCTTCCCCCTCCATAGATTTCCACCTTGGTCACATCGTTGTAGTGCTTAGGCGAAGCCCTGCATCGGTAATTTCATCATCACCATCATCACGCCGTTGTGTTGACAAAACTCTCCCTCGATCTCAGCTGGATCTAGAGTTCGTGGGACGTCACCGAGCTGAATGTGTGCAGACCGCGGAGGTGCCGTACCTTCAGTGCTAGGATCGGTCGGATCGTGAATACGTACAACTACATCAACCGCGTTGTCAGAACGCTTCCTCTTTCGGTCTACGAGGGTACATGGACACACTCTCCCCTGTCGTTGATATGCATCACCTAGATAGATCTTGCGTGATCGTAGGATTTTTTTTGAAATTACTGCGTTCCCCAACAGTGGCATTCGAGCCAGGTCTATGCGTAGACGTTATATGCACAAGTAGAACACAAAGAGTTGTGGCGATAATAGTCATACTGCTTACCAGCATGTCATATTTTGATTCGGCGGTATTGTTGGATGAAGCAGCTCAGACCGACATTACACGTACGCTTACGCGAGACTGGTTCTACCAACGTGCTTTGCACATAGGTGGCTAGTGAGTGTCTGTTTCTCCAACTTTAGTTGAATCGAGTGTGGCTACGCCCAGTCCTTGTTGAAGGTTAAGACAGCACACTTGATAAAAAATCGTTGTGGTTTTGATGCATAGGTAAGAACGGTTCTTGCTAAGCCCGTAGCAAGCTCCAGCGATCCATTTATGGACTGGTGCAAGCCTCTCGGAGTTGGAATAAATGCTTTGATAGTGTGATCAAAGCATATGGTTTTATACAGACTTTTGGAGAAGCCTGCATTTACAAGAAAGTGAGTGGGAGCTCTATAGCATTTCTA